CCCCCCCCCCCCATTTTTATATATTTTTCCACACAGCAATTCTTTATGTGAACTAACATCCCCCCTCCCCTTCTATTTCATAAAAATGTTTTGCCAATATAAAATTTTAGATTTGTTTGCTTTTGCCAGAAAGGTTTGTTGTTAAACGTTTTGCACAGAAGCCCAGCAGAGCCTGTGCTTTATTTCCTCACAGCCATAAAGAGTCTGAGAGAAATGGATCATTAAACTGTCAAAATACTGGTAATAAATTCAAGACGTTTAGAAGACGACATGAGAGCTTTTTAATTGATTTTTTTTTTTTTTTGCACGTTTTGAATGTCATGCATCAATGCATCGATCTTTCCTCACCACATCAGGATGTAGCTGTCCTTCAAATAACCGTTATGATTATGCCAATGGGCAGAGACGTGCACAGACATTTTGAGGGGCAGGGGCTCAAGTGGAAAAAGGGCACTTCTCATATTTATTTTAATTTTTTTTCTAAACAAAACGTTAAATATATGAACACAGCTCTGACTCACCAATTCATTTTAATTCTCTCACACTCACCCAATTGCTTCATGTTGTTTCATTTTTCAACAGCTCTAATAGAAAGGAAATTTCCAAAATAGTCTCAATACAGTTTGCCTGGAGGGCTCAGGAGGACATTCCTGGATGATCAGGACACACAACTCTTCTGAGAATAATAAATCCAGGTTGACATCCAGGTGTGATCCTTTTAAGATTATTTCCAGGATTGTGTACATCAAAATTGATTATACTTTCGAAAGAATTCCCAGTCGTGTTTCCAGTGAAGGATTTGCATAATGAAATTTGTTGTACGACACAAAGATGGTTTTAATCTAAGAAACGCTGCAGTTCTCCTATAATCTGTTGGCCGGAGACTAACACAGCTTTCTAGACATGAGATTTCCACCTGAAGGATAAAGATGAAACTTGAGTCAATAAAATCTTGAGGTGCAAATGCTTGACGCATAGTGGATTTGCATGAGAAACGTAAAAACCTTTTAGAACAGAAATACAAATAATTCCCTTGCTTTAACCTCTGATTCATATCAAACAGGATATACACGCTTGACTACAATCACAAAAAATAACTGTTTATGTCAAATTGGGTTATTGTCCAAACATTGACTCAAAATGGGAAGTCACAGAAAGCACTAATTGTTTACAATCAATGTGTCTTTCCACGTCTTAGAAGTCACTGACACTTCTATGACGCATTGAAATCGTGATGAAATGTTTTCAAGACTTTGTATTCACATTATGACCACTATTTCCCCAGAATTCAAGCCGTTCAGTTGTTTCAATATCAACAAGCAGGACAGACACTCAAACAGTTACAATTAACAGGTTTCTTTATTCTTTATTCTACTAACTGAAAATGTTCACCACTCTAATGGCTCTGGAAAAATGTCATAAAAAATAAAAAAAAAATATATATATATATATATATATATATATTAGTGCTTTCAAACAATTAATTGCGATTAATCACATCCAAAATAAAAGTTTTTTTGTTTACATAATATGTGTGTACTGTGTATATTTATTATGTATATATAAATACAAACATGTATGCATACAACAAATATGTATGTATATTATATATTCTACATTTCATGAAATAATCAAAGTTATTTTGTAGTTATTTTTAGAAAGTAGCTTAATTTAAGTTTGAATATTTAAAAATATACATATATAAATATTATAAAACAGGTCTTCCATCTTGACTGGATAAGTGTCGTGCAATCTATGCACTGGTGAGGATTTACACTGACTCTCTCTGTACATGTCATCATTACACCAGTAGGTGGCGACCAGTGGTTGTCTTTATAAGTGAGTCATCGAATCATTCTTTCAACCGATTCGTTCGAATCACTGATTCATTCAGTGTGTTGAATGCGGAGAAGCGCAACACTTTTCTTTCTGGCATCACTTGGAAGTTTCAAGTTGGAACTATTATCGTGGTGGATAAAAAATAACATTGTGGCAACATTGTGCTAAATAATTAAAATTGAAGTTAGGCTACTTAAAACCCCTTAACTGTCATCCCCATTTTTGAAAATTCACGAGAAAGTGCACTATCCAAACTTAAATTATTATAATTAATGAACGCTTTTGAATACAGACCTAAGGTTGGTCTCTTTTTAAAGAAGACAATTAGCAGATTATTACAGAAGTGAAATCATTTAATAAAATGAAAGTATTTAAAAAAGTTATGGAAGCTTAAATTTACTGTAAAGAAAATGTATTGTACTATTTTTGTTTTATTTGATATAAAATAAATATTTTTAAAAATAGTTAAAAAATACAAAATTGCTATAAAATTAAAG